AGGGAATAAACCATTTTCTTTAAATAAAAAAAAAAGTCCCTTCCCCCTTGCTCTTCCTGCTTGTTGGGACTGTGTGCCTGCCTCCAGGGTTGGCTCATGTGGGCCACCTGACCCTGACAGCTGTTGGTGCCCTGCCATATTTCCACCAGTCTTGGAGGCGTGCACCTCTGCACCCACCAGCCTGTGAGCTTGCTGCGTCTTGCTTTATCTTTCGGAGTCACCGGCCAGCAGCTACGTGAGTCTGAAGAGAGCTGCTTCTAGCATCAGACCCAGGGACTTAAGTTGGACTGGTTGAGAGCAAACGAAAAGCTGCAAAAGCCACGGAACCCTAAGAGAACTTCACTGGAGAGCTTGCATTTCTTCATGTCTGCCATCCCCTGCTTTCGCTGCAGAGATTGATAAGCCTCTTTGAACTGGCCCCTCCGGAGCCCTGTCCTCCAGGGGCTTGCTGAGGGAGCGTTCAGACAGCAGACCTCTGGGGCTGGGGGGTCAGTTACACAAACGAAACTAAATGGAGCTGGCGTTTGAATTGCTGCCTTCACAAATGAATGACTGGTTACCCAGTAAGTAAGCCTCAAATAGTATGTCTTGAAAAATAAATAAATAAATACTGACATGTATTGTTCGTGGAATACCAAAGAGATATTAAAAACAATTGTTTGAAGGATATATAACAGCCTAGATAAATGTTTCTAACATAAAATAAACAACAACTTAAGAACAGGGTCAATTTAACCACACCGTTGGGCCACAGGAGACCATTGCCGCTGAATCCATTTTATAACATTGTTTCCTGGTCTCGACCCTGTGCTGTGGACAAAGCTTGGTGCGTTGAAGACAGCTTATGGAAGGGAGACGTGAGCCCTGGGCAGTGGGGCTTGAGAAGTTGGCTGTTCTGTGTTCTAACCTTTCCCCTACGTCGTCATTCCCAACAGGAGATATGTCTGTCCGACTCCCCCATGGTGATGACTTTAGTGGATGGGCCAACGGAAGAGAGCGACAATCTCATCTGTGTGGCTTATCGACACCAATTTGACGTGGTCAACGAGAGCACGGGGGAGGCCTTCAGGCTGCACCATGTGGAGGCCAACCGGGTACGTTGCCAGTTAACAGGGAGAAGTGGGAATCTGAGGAGACCAGGATGGATTGTACCGTCGAACTTTGTGATGCCGTGATTAGGACGTCCTCAACCTTACAGGCTGCTTCTCATTCATGCAAGGAGGGCGTGGTGGCCTGCGTAGGCTGCTGCCACTTGGAGGGCTCCCAGTCATTGGGTCCAATGGAAGGAAGCATTCCCCCAGCCTTTTCAGATCTTGCCCCGCCACTGCACCCTTGTGAGCCAAAGAGAAATGAAGAGTCCCAAAGTTCAATACAAATAAATAAATAAGTACATGAGGACACTGTGCTCCCAGGAATCCCTGTGGAGGATAAGGTTGTGCTCAGTCACCCTGCAGACTCAGAATTTAGGGACCAGATGGCTGGGGGGTGGGGGGGGGCTATTGTACCACTGTCTATACCCTTAGAGGAGTCGGGGAGGACAGTATCAGGAGAGGGTCTCCCCTGCCTGGCCGGAGCTGCCCAAAGCACAAAGATGTCCTGGGATTTGGATAGACTCTCATGTCTGCCCTGGACTACCCTAAACTCTGAAAATGACCTTTCCAGAGTCTGACCGTTACTACTCGGTGGAGAGCAGTGATCACAGCTCTGTGATCCTCCCATGGAGACTCTTTCAGAGCTGATATTAGCCCTTCACAGAACTCCTCACCCATTTATTGCTGGGAAGCAGGGTGAGGCCTGATAACAGTTGAGCCAGCCACTGTGAGTTCTCATAAGGCCGTACCAGCATGCGGGCTCAGGACAGCGAGGAATGGGGACGTGGCCTGCGGGGAGAATAAGCTCCCCATGAAGCTTCCAACCCAACCGGCTTCCTCCTGGTACGTTCATTCAAATTGGTGAGATAGCTTTCCAATTAAGCTTTCCAAGACTAGAAGAAGCACACCTCATATTAGTGTCTCCCGCACCTAAGTAGCCATGCAAATGGGTAATTAACTCTGTTAAGAAGAGGAACCATTAGAACGAGATTTTAAGAAGTAGAAAAATAGGAAAAAGGAAAAGTCTAGCTGTATCGGGAGGCCATCTCATCGTGAGCTGTTCTCGATCCCAGAGGGCTCTGTCTTGCTTGTTTTGTCGCCTGGTGCTGCCCAAACACGTCTGCACTTGGACTTTTCTGAGGAGCCTCCCCAAGGACTGACGTGTGTGCCCCAGAGGAGTCCCTGGTCTTGGCTGTACCATGAGTACATTTCTCAGTGATCCCCAAGCGGCTCTCATGTTCCAAGTTGAGTCCTACTGAGAATGTGCTGCTTCTCGGCCCCCACCTGGCCTGCCTGGCTCAATGTAATCAGTATCTCCTTCAGCAAATACACAGCTGATAAGCATTTGTTGACCGTGCGTGTCTGCTTAGTCAGACAGGTGCCTCTGCCAGGCATTTACTGTCTAATGGGGAGATAAGCCTGAGAGGAAGGAAAATGTTCCTGAACAAGGTGACTTTTGCTAACTCGTCAGGTGCAGAGCCAGCCAGCACAGGACTGGCTATTCACCAAGCTGCTGCACAGGTCCAAGAGCAGAGGAGGCAGGAAGGAGCGGGTGACAGCCAAAAGCCACTAGGGGGCATTCAGCTTCATTCAGATGACACTCCCTGCCTGCCTGCTCGGTGCAAGGCACCCTTGGCATTGGGCTAACCTGCTTTCCCACCCCCAGTCTTCCTTTCGTCTCTGACAAGGCCGTTTCAGGCTTTAGTGCTGCATTCTGAAACCCAAGTTCAAGTTCACGTCTAGGCCCACCGTGACCCACTGCCCCAGCTCTAGCAGCCAGCTCTGGCCTCATGCCCCAAACAAGGACTCCTCTGGGAGGCCCCGCAGACCTGGTAACTGGAGCTGGGTCCCTGGCTTTCTCCCTACACTCCACTCCCCATCTTGACCCTCTGCCAGAGCTCAATGCCCAGGAAGGCTGGCCACTGAGCGTCCACCTCTGTCAGCTGGAGTGCATACATCTCTGCTTTTCACTTTTTTTTTTGTTTCCCTCACTCTGTTTTGAATTCTAACAACAGGCATAAGTTACTTTATAAATGTAAAATGTCAATACAGTGAGCTTCTTAAACTCACATGAAAAATCGGACCCCTGAGCTAAAAGGGAGCCGATGTCAGGAGTCCAGGAAGGAAAGTATCTTTGGAAACTGATAATGGAAGCAATCGGACAGTTCTGCTTGATGCGATTGAAGTATGCAATGATCTAACACATGTATTAACTCCAAGTAAGAACAAATTAGAGAAAAAATATAGCGAGAGATCCAGAAATGGGTTTGGGGCTCACACTAAATCCTAGCTCCAATTTAAGAACAATTAGTTCTTACATCATGGTCTGGCTCGATACGCACCCTCAGGAAGGGTATACAGAAGATACAGGTGCTATAGCAAGAGTTCGGGAGGAAGGGGGTACAGTGTTTGGGGGCGTGGGGCATGGTAATAGGGAGATGATGTCAAGGAGTTCAGGTAGAAAAAGATTGTTTGGAAACTGATTGTGGTAACAAATGTGCAATTCTACTTGACGTGCTTAAACTATGGAATGGTATGATATATGTGTTAACTCCCAAATAATAATTTTTTTTAAAAAATTAGACTCCCATGTCTACACCCTATTCCAGAACTCCAGTAGCAGAAGCTCTAGGGTTATGGGAGACAGGGGGAAGATGGGCAGGCACACAGGGCTCACTGTCAGCATTAATAACAGTCTGAAGAAAACCCAGTAGGATATGAAGAAGTCCAGGTGGTAGCCATGTGTCCCTGAGGCCAGCAAGGTAGAAGGACCCCTGCAGGTTCTGTGCTTCAGCCTGAAGCTTAGGAGCCTACTGAGCTCAGCGCCCCTGTCAGCATAGCCCTGAAACCCCTTGGCAGACAGGTTTGATGCTCGTTCACTGCTTCCCTGTGGTCACCATGCAGATATCCTGTCTGAACCTTCTCTCCTCCTGTGACCACCCCCTATCGCCGCCACCGCCACCCTCCACCACACACACACACACACACACACATACACACAGCTTCAGTGGGCTTCCTGTCTAGGTCTTCCTTTCCCACGGCAGCCCAGTCCTCTCATCAAGGTCATAGACAGCCCCTGGAGTGGTCGCCTGTGTGCTGGTTCTGTGCCCGGTGCTTCATTCGCGTTAGCTCGTGGGGAGCTCACAGCAACCTGTGCAGGAAGTGCTGTTCACACCCCATGTAGGTAGAAAAAGACGTCTCAGGAAGGGGTTGCTTATTTTCCCAAGACTACAGTACAGCTCGTCAGTGCCAGAGGCAGGTCTGGAATCCAGGGTACCTGACCATGCCCTTACACACAGCACGCTGTGGCGCCCATCGCCATGTCCCAAAGAATCGGGGGCTAGCAAGTCCAGGCCACGAAGCTCATAACACTGGAAGTTCACAGCCTGGCAGAGTGGACACATGGGGTCTCTCGCTGAGATCAGTGTGAGACTACCCAAGGAAGAAGTGGTTTAGTTGAAGTGGTAGAGATGAGGAGGTTCCTCTGGAGGGGGACAGATGGGACTCCAGGACTATTCCCAATGGGTGCTGTCTGTCTACATAGCTAAGGCCCGTATATACTCGTGTATAAGCTGAGTTTTTCAGCACATTTCTTATGCCGTTTTTGTAGTAAAATGAGGTGCCTCGGCTGATATTGAGGTCAGCTTATACTCGAGTATATACAGTAAGCTATCCGCTCACATTTATTAAGTATTTATCAAGTGGTAGGCACTGTCTTGGATGTTTATATAAGCTACCTCACCGAAACCTTGACCTGTAGAGGTAGACATTCTTACCTCCGATTTTGCAAATGAAGAAACTGAGGTCCTGAGAGGTGAAACAGCCGGCTGAAGTCACGTGGCTGTAAAGAACCAGAGCTGAAACCCCATTCATTCAGCGGGTGTTTCTTCTGCTCTGATCTCGAGTCTGAGAACACTGCATGGCCTCTGTCTTCATGAAGCGTCCGTGTTGGGGACAAGGAGGTCTGGAAGGGAGGGAGGGAGGAAAGAAGGAAGGGAGATCACAGAGTAAGGAACACGTGCTATGCAGGCTCTTAAGACAGAGGTCTCTGGTGTACAGCTTTGGGGAAAATAGTGGGGTGCTGGCTCCCAAGTCCTTTTGTTCCCTCAGTCAGCAGTCTTTCCCACTGGGCCTCACCGTCCCCCCTTTGCTCTGAAGTTCCCACGACTCTTGGTCATAATTATGGATTTTCTTCATACTGTCTTAAGTGCTTATGTGCCTTTCAGATTGTGTTTTAATGTAGGAGAGAACCCTACATTAATTTAGTTCTGTATCGTTCGTGGCCCGCGTACAGTGCCAGGGGATTACAGACTAGTGAATGCCCCGTGGGAGAGAGCATGGCTTCACTGGAGGGTCTGCCCAGAGATAAGCCAGAGGCCTGGCTCCGGGCTGCACTTGGGGGTGTGGGGGTGGGGCTAGCAAGTGGGGGGACTGTTCAGAAGAGGAGCTTTCATTTTGGTAAGAGCGTGAGGCGGAGGGCTGGCTAGGTGGGCCACCTGTTTTAAGAGTGCAGTGCAAAGACTGGAAGGGGCTGGCGAGAGACACGGTGCTCCTGCCGAAGGAGTTTGGGCTCCGTAGACAGGCACAGATAATGGATCTAAGCGCTGCTGTGAAGAGGATGCTACTGGACTGGGAGGAGAGGGAGTAAGGGACCCCTGAGATTCTGGAGGGTGTTCTGCTAACAGGAAGGAGTCGGTTTATAAGGGAAGCTAGTTGTGTGAGAGAGAAAGGCGGCAGTTTTGTTGAATGCTGAATTATGCCAGCCCCCTTACTAAAAGCTTCACCTTGTTTCGTTGAATTCTCACTACAGTTCAGTGAAATTAGTAATCATCCCAGATGTATAGAGGAAGATCCAAGGCTAAAGATTAAGCCATGCACCACACATCACACAGCTGGTAGGTGGTGTGCCTAGGCTCTTGATAGGAGGCTGTCTGACCAGAGTCCATGCCTTGCTCTCTGATCCTGATCCCAGGTGATCTCTGCGTGAACGTGCACCCGAGTGCGTAGACGTAGGACCTTTGAGTACAGGGTAATATTCAAAACTCTGAAAGTGGGTCTTTTCTACTCCAGGAAAGAGTCAGAAAATGGAAGCACATTCTGAAGGGAGGCAAGAAGACAGGCAGGAAGCAATGCCTTCTTTTCCAGAGGCTGCAGGGAACTGGGCAGAGAAGAGCTTTGGCTAACGGCCTTCTCTTTGGGGGAAGAAGAAATGGCCGTTGAACTCGGAGAGGGCCGTTCCCCAGGGGTGTGGGAACAGCACAAATTGTAAGAGTTGAGCACCCAAGGGGAGAAATGAAAGGACTGGGAGATTTTCAGAGGCACCGTCAGGAAGGACCGCGGTCTTCCCAATTGCAGGACCTGAGGTGCAGAGAGAGGAGTTTGCCCCCAGCACACCCCGGCCCCTGCCTCACGCTCCCTGCCTGCAAGCGAGGTTGAGAGGAAGTGGAAGGTGAAGGTGGGCTAGGTGGTCTTCGGATGCAGACGTCCTGCCTGTTTGAGGTGGAAGAAGGCCTGGGCGAAGAAGGCCCAAGAGCAATAAGACCGAAAAGAATGGTGGCCTGGTTCACAACGTGGCCGTGGCCCTCGAGTCACTTCACATCTCGGAGCCCCGCGCTGGTCCTCTGTAAAATAAGAATGACGCCTTCTCTTTTCTACGGTTGGTATGAGCGTGACATCAATAACCCTCCTGAAATGCTCTGTGAAGAACCATAGTTCAAATGAAGGGAGGAGAGCTGCCCAGGAGACACACACAGAGAGAGAGAATGCATTTCTTTTCTTACATGCCTACAGCGTGTTGTAGCCATGTCCCCCCACCCCCAACATGTGACATCATGGGCCCTGATGAGGTAGAAATGGCCCTCCCCAACATCTGAGTTTATGGAGGGCTGAGGGCCGTCGCCAAGCACGTGGCAACCTGAGGAAATCTTTGAATAGTGTCAGCGTCCAACCCGCCCACTACCATTGCCCATTATCGTTGCAGGTTAACTTTGTTGCCGCGATTGATGTGTATGAAGATGGAGAAGCTGGTCTGCTATTGTGTTTCAACTGTAAGTGACAGACATTCTTACCTTCAGTTGCTAAATGGATTGTACATCTTCCGGGCAACGTAAAGGGCTTTGTCCTTGGTTTAGGAGCCCTGGTGGTGCTGGGATTCAAGGACCCCTTGCGAACCAAAAGGTGGGTGGTTAGACTCCACCAGCCACTCCTTGGGAGAAAGGGGTGGCCGTCTGGTCCGTGAAAGACTTAGCACCTCTGAAAACCCTTTGGGGCAGTTTTTCTCTGTCTCACGGGGTCACTATGGGTCACAGTCCAGTCAATGGCGAGGGTTTGGGTTTGGGGGTTGTTTTCAGATAGTTACCTGATGCATTCGTTCTGTGTCCTGAATTACACACCTGGAACCATCTAAGACAGTGGTTCTCAACCTTCCTGTTGCCATGACCCTTTCATACAGTTCCTCGTGTGGTGGTGACCCCCAACCCTAACATGATTTCCGTTGCTACTTCATCACTGTCATTTTGCTACTGTGATAAATCAGGAGTCCCCTGTGCGAGGGTTGTTCGACCTCCAAAGGGGTCACGACCCACCGGTTGAGAACTGCTGGTCTAAGACAAGCTTCCCTACCTGCTGTCCAACCTGGACTCTTACTCCCCAGGCCTCTGGGTGGGGTGGTGTCCAGGTGCTGATAGGTCCAGGGTACAGTGGTGATGGCGGAGGTGACACAGTTTCCATTCCAGGAGCCCTTACTGTGTGCCATGTGTTGTGCTCCGTATTTACGGTCACTGACTATTTAGTTCTCACGATGGCCCCGGGCAGCCACGGTGCCTGTTCTGAGTTTAGAAATCAGACAACCTGTCGAGGTGACCTGCCTTTCTCAAGCCCTTGCAGCTCACAGGGTCGGCGGGAGGACTTGCAGCGGGGCCTCTGGGGACTCCAGCACCGCGCTTTAACCACAGCTGGTACACTCCTTTCTTGCGGTTTCTCTGGTATTAATGAGCTTAGCCTCAACATGGTGTCCGGATTTCAGGTGAGTTAGTTTGGGTTAGGTGTTAGCAGGGGCCGTAGGCAGAGCAAAGGGTATGATTAGATAGAGTCCCTAAGCATTGCTTCACATTTCAACCTAATTACTATACTTCAATTAAAAAATGTTTTTTAGTGCTAATAGAAGTAAATTTCTTTCCTGGGTAAGGCTGCAGTCTAAGAAATAAAGCATGTTTCTTTAGCCTGGAATCCTATCAATTTGCAATAGGGATGCTAGTTGTGTCATATGGGTCAAATATGTTCCTTGATATTTGCCTAGTATTTTGATTAAAGAGCGCATTATCGATGAGGGAATTTGTACTGTTGACATCCTCTTTCAAGATGTGAGGCAAAGGTGATCATAAAGAAGGAAACTCTACATCAGTAGATCGCTTTGTTGATATTTTATCTGCAGATCTGTCTGTCGTTGTTAAGTGCCTTCAGATCTGTTTCGACTCATGGGAGCCCTGTTCACAACAGAACCAAGCACTGCCCAGTGCTACTGCATCCTCACCAGTGGTCCTGTGCTTGAGCCCATTGTCGCAGCCACTGTGTCCATCCATCTCCTTGAGGGCTTCCTTTTTTCCGCTGACTCCCTCCGATGTCCTTCTCCAGGGACTGCTCTCTCGACAATGTGTCCAAACTACGTGAGACGAAGTCTCCCCATCCCTTCCTCTCGGAAGCACTCTGGGCGTACTGCTTCCATGATAGCTTTGTTTGTTCTTTTGGCAGCCTATGGTACTTTCACTATTCTTCCCCAGCACAACTCAAATGCATCAATTCTTCTCCGGTCTTCCTTATTCAGTGTCCAACTTTCACATACATACAAGGGGGTACCCCCAAAAACCGGAATTGTGCTGGGTGGAGCAGAGCTTTCTTTCACGCTACTCATTTTCCCACCAGGTGATTATCAAGCACCTTCTCGGAGTTAGTGCACCCAGTGACATCACCTGGGAAGGTTCTCTCTGGTCACAGGGAATTTTTTTTCATAAAAGCAGTTTCGCTCAAACCTCGTTTTTTGTGATGGCCAATTGAAGAGAACAGCATGCAGCAGTGAAATTTTGTTTCCTGCTCGGGAAAAATGCCGCAGAAACGGACAATGTTGAGCACACCTTACAAGGACAGCACTATGGGGGGAAATTCAAGTGTCTGAGTGTTTTTCTCATGTCAAAAAAGGTGAAATGTCGCTTGATAACAAACCTCATTCTGGACTTCCATCAACGTCCTGAATGGACAAAAATGTCAACTCATTGTGCTTTTTGAGTTCATTCTAGCAGGTCAAACTGTTAATCACGCTTTCTATTTAGAGGTTCTGAAAAGATTGTGTAACTATGTGGGACAAAAGAGGCCTGTTTTGTGGCAGATGGGGGACTGGTTTTGCCACCACAACAATGCACCTGCTCACGCACCCATCTCAGTGCACCAGTTTTTGACAAAAATAACCCCAGCATGCCTCTCTTGCCCCACGCATCTTACTCTCCTGACCTTGCTCCATGCAACTTCTTTTTGTTTCCATGAATGAAGAGGGATATGAAAGGACAGCGATTTGACGAGATAGAAGAAAAAAAATGAGGGAGGTACTGTCAGCCATCCAAACAGATGCTTTTGAAAAATGTTTCCAAGAATGGACTCGCAGATTTGACAGATGTATTAAGTGTAATGGAGAGTACTTTGAAGGTGATAAGGTTGTTTTAAAAAAAAATTCCAGTTATTTTTGGATAATCCTTGGTATGACCCTCCTAGAAGCCTATTTCACTTACTCCAGAGAGTAAGTGGCAGGAAATGGAATATATGAAAACTGAAATTTGCAAATATTTTGTGTATACGAGAGTAAATCCATCATAAAAAAAGACCACTACAAAAATCATAGAAATCCTTATTAAACAAAAACAATAAAATGTGCAGCTATTGTTTTTCAGCATATCTTCTTTTTAATTTTTTAATTGTGATTTAGGTGAAGGCTTACCAAGCAGGTCATTAGTTTCACAAATAACAATTTATTTTACATTACATTAAGACACAGTTTCCTTAACATTTCCACCCAACTCCTTCATTTCAGTCTGTTCAATGGACCGTCACTTATCCCACTTCCTCCCAAGGCTTCTTGTTTGCATTCTTTTTTTTAAATCATTCTATTGGTTCAGCATATCTTCTCTGTAGGCCTATGCACTGCTGGGGTGGTGTTGCTACCTCTCTGACCCTTTACGCCACTAAAAGCAGCAGTGTTGGCATCCTCAAGGAACTCAAATCCTGCTCCTTTCACTTGTTCTGTGCATTTGGGGAGTGAAAAGAAGTCTGAAGGGGCAGGATCAGGGCTGTGGCATGGATGAGGTGGCATGGCCTTCGCTACTCTTGAAGAGTGAGCGGGTGCATTGTCTTGATAGAAAAAGAAACCCTTGGTTCAGCTTTCCTGGCCTTCTTCTCACCCATTCAAGGCTTGAAGGTAAACAAGCAGTCCTCTAGCAGGGAAGCAAAAAAGCCCACATGGAAGCAGCACACCAGCCTGTGTGATCATGAGGTGTCCACGGGTCCAGGGATCAGGT